GCAATAATGTGTAGCTACTTGGATATTTGGGTTGAACTTGAAGGCTGTGAAAAACTCTATACACAATTCCTTATAGGTTTTTTCACAAATATGGAAAAGGTTGATCTACCCTTTACACCAAAAGGCTCCCTCTTCATCATCTTGGTAGTATTTAACCAAGTATTCCTCTAGGGCCTCATAAAGCCCCATTTGCTCCATTTCACTCCAATTTAGTGCATAATGGGAAATAACTCTTTTAGTTTGCATGATCTTACATGTAACCTTTTCAGATTCATTTGTGAATTCGCTCCATTATGAGACCAGATTGTTTTGGCTAGATGCCCATTTGCCTCTTTGAGGCCCCCTAGATATGATTCTGAAAAACCCAATTGATTTGAATTATCTAAATGAGAATTAAAAGTTTATCTGTATGAAATCGCGACGAGATATAGGATCGCGGCGTGAATATCAGTTGGAAATTTTCAATAGATCCTTCTTTGATCAATGTAATGCATATATATCAAGGTATTGCTTTATTAAGGTTTTTTCTATGACATACAATTATGATTTAGGTACAAGAAATCAATTAGCTCATCAACTTTTCATATGAAATAAAAGGTTCAAGAGTTATAGGGCAATTATTATAGAATTGAACATAAATTTTCAATCAATGATGAAATATAGATGTTAGATTGTTACTTTGTTGAAGAAAATTGAAGGAATTTAGAGTGCTAGGTTTCTTTGAAAAAACCTCCGCGAAAGTTAGAAAGAATTTTGGTGGAGGGAATGAAATAAAAGAAGGAGCCTAGGGTTTTTTAGTTCTGTCGAGAGGAAATCGCGACGAGATATATTTGTCGCGGCACAGAAATCGTTCGAACCAGATTTTATTACTTGGGTTTAGCAATATGTTTTGTGTTTATAATTTTAATATATCTTGGTGCTATTCTATTATCGAAGGGACATAAAAATAATATGACACATAAATTAATTGGATTGCCACCTGGAAGCGCTTCTTTTGAGAGTCAAAATTTGGACTCTTTATATCCTAGTGTTATGTTAGTTTTCAGATAGAGGAATATCTTCCTCGTCTCCAGGATCGTTTTCTCCTATCTTCTTCGTCGTCTCTAGGATCGTTTTCTCCTATCTTCTCCTTGTATTGTTTGAGTCTATGTCAATTTATGTTGAAGTTATTGCCATTTTTTCCGATTAATTCGACTAGACTATGAGGAAATACTTTTTTTTTGAACGGAAAATACAATATATTCCTAAACTACTCCTAAATCCACCTATGTCTCAGACGAGACTTGAACCCTCAACCTCAAAGAGAGAGGACAACACCTGATACCGCTGACTATATAAGGTCCAGTCCATCGAGATTTTAATTTTCCAAAGAATAATTTCAGTCTTCAATTATATAAAAGTACTTTATCTTCGCTATTGCCTATTACTTAGTTTAGCATCATGCCATTTTTTAACTTTATCTTTGTAAAGTAGAGAGTTAGAGCATGCTTTGTTTCGTAATTCGTCAAGTTGATTTAATTTAATTGAAGGATTCTATATGTTTCAAAGTCTATAGATTCTAAATTACAGTTTTTTTGGACCCCAATACGCCTTGTGTTCTATTTATATAGGAAAGTGACAGGCTTTACCATAAACCAACCTAGATGGGGTCGTTCCTATCGGGCCTTTAAAATTTGTTCTAAATGCTCAAAGTGTGTCATCTAACTTGTGTGACCATTTATTTTGCTTTGATCCTATTGATATTTTTGAAATTCTTTTTAATGCTCTATTAGTTATTTATGTTTGTCCATTTGGTTGTGTTTGATAAGCAGTAAATACCCTGTGGTGAACCGCATATCTTTGTAATACCTTAGCCATAAGATTATTGCATAAATGTGTTCCTCTTCACTTATTAATGCTCTTGGTACAACAAATCTAGAGAATAACTTTTTTAGAAATTGAACTACTGTTCTAGCATCCTTTGTTGGGTGAGTTTGAGCTTTAGCCCATTTTGACACGTAATTGACTGCGAACAAAATATATTTATTTCTTCTTGAAGATGGAAAAAGTCCCAAAAAGTCTATTCCTGATACGTCGAAAATCTCATAGATTTGAATACATTGTTGGTACATTTCATTCCTTGTTTTAATGTTCCAGTTCTTTGGCAGTGATCAAATTCTTTATCAAATTGTCTGGAGTCTTTAAAAATTGTGGGCCAAAAGAATCATGTTTTAAATACTTTTTTACTGGTATAATCTGGTCCATGATGTCCTCCGGTATGTCATCCATGTCATTGTTGAAGAATTTCTTTTATTTCTTTTCTAGATACGCGTCTTCTGATTATACCACCGACAAAACTTCTAAACAAATATGGTCATCCCAAATATAGTATTTTAGGTCAGAAAAGATTTTTTTTCTTTTGTTGATAGTTTATATTTTTCAATAATATTTTAGCAGCTATGTAACTAATTATATATGCGTACCAAGATGTGTTGTCATTAGGTATTCATCAGAAAAAGAAGCATTAATCTTGATTTTGTCTAGATATGGATATTCTAATCGAGAGAGATGGTCGACTGCTACATTTATTGTTCCCTTTTTGTCTTGTATTTCTATGTCGAATTCTCTTAATAATAGAATCCATCTTATTAATCTTGGTTTTGATTATTTATTAAAGAGGTATTTCAAGGTTGCATGGTCGGTGAAAACTGAAGTTTTTGACATAATTAGGTATGAACGAAAATTATCGAAGGACATAATTAGGTATGAACGAAAATTATCGAAGGTGAAAACTACTGCTAGCAATTCTTTCTCAGTTGTTGTGTAATTTTCTTATGCTCTGTGAATGATTTTGTGAGGTCCTATTTCGGAGCACAAAAGCCATACTTCTTCTAAGATTTTGCGTGGATAGGATGTCTTTAAATTGGGGTTTAGGAATTATTAGATGACATACATATTTGATAAAGTGTACTCGGTGTTTTTATTATTATTATGACACTGATATAATTTTGCATGTCATTAAAGACCTATTTTTTGGTAGTGCATATAGGTAAAATAGATATTGTGTCTATGGAAAAATGCCATATAAATCCAACTCCCACATGTCTTCGATAGTGGCTTCCCAAGTATTGTTGGAACAGGCTAGGGAGGGCTTATGATTGAGATACATCTTATGTAGGTAAAAATGGGTGTAACGCCCCACTTTTCTTTAATGTGTTTAATGTTATGGTTGTAAAAGTAATGATTACATCGGGTCATGATATTCGAAAAATCGGCCCCAAACAAAAGCGTTTGTACAGTTACTACAATTAAAAGAAGTCTAAAGAAAAACATTACAAGGAGTCTAAAAGAAACTCCACTCCAACTATCCTACAAATTCTCAAGAGTAGCACGAGATTTTAGAAACAATAAAGCTAGCAATAAAACATTTGATAATTTGAGAAAAACAAAAATTCTCATAACGATAGCACAACATAGGTATATTCAAATATAAGAATAGAATGATTACAGGTTTGCCTTACATATAAAACATAGAACAATAGAAAGTTAATGCCCTTATATAAAACATTTAAACAATAGAAACTTATTTGTTATGGCCGTATATAGACCATTAAAACAACTTTAAACTTACGGGTTCTTCCCATACATAAAACATCTAAACAATATAAAACTTATGGATTCTCCTTGTATATAGAACATTAAACAATAGAAATCTTACGGGTTCTCCTCGTATATAAAACATTTCAAACCATAGAAAAATTATGGTTTCTCCCCGTATATATCAGATTCTCTCCATAAATATGTCTTATAGATTCTCTTTTATAAGACGGCCTTACCAATGCTTAAATCAAAACATCAACATATATATCAAACTTGAACTAACATGTTTCATGGTTGCAAGAGTGAACCAAAATCAATTATCATATATGAAAATTTATCAAATTTCGATCTTTATAAAAAAAAACATATTTGTACCATGCAACCCATATAAATGGGTGCACAACATGGGCTCTTCTAATCGTTGATGTTGAAGCCTACGATAATCCAATATATTTCATCTTTCATTCTTCCCCCAACTCCTTTAATGCTCCCATCTAACAAGAAAAATACAACATTTGAGAGGAGTAACAAAGCTCGAAAAAAAAGTTTTAACAAAAATGACTCTTTTCTTGATCCCCAAGCCTTTTAATTTCTTTCATTCTAATATATTTACATACTAAGGAATCATAATATTCAAATTTTGGTTCATTTCCAAAACTTTTATGTTTCATGTTTTTAACGACATGTTACTAAAATAGTCTAATTTTAGTCTTTTTACAACTAAATAATGTTTTATATGGTTTTTAACGAAATTCATGTATTTCAAACTCAAACTTACCTTCTACTAGCTTCAAAAGTGTTAACTTTGCCCAAAATTTTAATGCTCTTGAATATATCAAATTTGTCCAACTTTAGTTTTTTTTATCCATGTGATTCATCATATTTTCATTTACCAAATGCTTGCATTCTAGACATACATTTACCATATACTAGCATAAAATTCTCCCAAATATCAATCTATGTTTGACTACTTAAAAAGTCAAATATGTCAAATTCTTTAGTCATCCAAGTTCATTCCAATCTAAAAAATCTTTGTGTCTTTCATAACATCTTTGTAATACCAAGTAAGACTCACGAATCCAATTCAATTCCAACATTTATTTATCGGTGTCCAATTGATCTAACACATAATTTTCACACAACACTTTCCATGATGTAAGTAATACTCATCAAGAATTGCATGCATTAAATTCATCATTCTTTTCATCTCATACTCCTAATTGAATTTCGAAGTTAAGGTTTCGACTAATAGCAAGTCAAGGCTGTGAAATATTTAGATACATCATCCAATTTGTTTTATTCTTTGAGTATAATTAAACTCATCTTATAGCATTTCATGTATATAAACCCAATTCTACCATGTATTGCACATCAAGCCCTAATTTATCAAATAACTTAGTTGGGGTGGAAATTACCTTATAAACCTACCAAATTAATGGGTTTGAAGTTGATGGCGTTAGCCATCAAATGAATCTGGCCACCATTGGGCCATGACTGCACCTCCACCATCGCCGGCGGAGCCTGGTGTCGTCGCCACTGCCATCTTCGGCAGTAACTAGCACTAGCAGTATCGTCGTCACCATTCTGTTTTTTCCTTTTTGCTGCTACCGACGACGCCTTCACGAATGAAATAAACATGAGGCTTCCATTTCTACATTTCACTACTTACTTTTAAAAGGATTGGCCATTCTTTTATTGGGCTAAACAACTTATGGGCTCAAGATTCTAAAATACCCAATAAAATACTTTTAAATCCATAATAAGTCCAATTCTATATCTCTTTTTTGGTCGTTACATCATGCATGCTATGGAAAGTGGCTTCTTAGGTTTTGTTGGAAGAGCCTAGGGATGTATAAAGAATATAACAAGAGCCACAGATGCATATACAAATAAGAAACATGAAAAGTCAAATGTACATATATTAACACTAGAATAATGATTTTTATTATTATTTATTGCTCAATTTTTTTTTTGGGGGGGGGGGGGGGGGGGGGTGCAGGAGCTAGGGTTTCAATGTGACACAGTGCAAGGTGAATGTCGTGCTAAATTTGCATGTCATCTGGATTGTTTTGCATGGGTCAAACGTGATAGTTATCTACCTCTAGGAAGCCATGGTTTGAAGGTAATTATTATTATCATTATCATAATTCATTTCAATATTGAAAATATTGTTCAAAATATTGTTCAAGTTTCCTTGTATATTATTTATTTATTGCTTAATTTTTTTTTGGGTGCATGAGGTAGGGTTTCAATAAAAGATTCTCACATTAAACTAATTTGTTGTTGGAAAAATCATCAAATTTGATTTTAACATTAACTTTTTTAGTTTTTTAGAAAGCAACACAACCCTTAATAAATAACCAACTATACTAAAAACTTGTAATCCAAAAACACAATAGAAGAAACTAATGTATAGTTAAAAGAAAATTTACATAGATATCCAAAAATTATTATATATCAAGTCATAAGGCAACACGATAAAAATAAACCACACATGAAAAAATTCACCACAATATGTCTAACATTAATGTAGATCAACTCTAAAAGCAACGCACTCATAAAAGTTGTCAAAACTTCAAAAAAAAAAAACACCACCAAATGTCTCACACAGAATTAAAAATTCTTCTAGGCATATTTATGATGTTAAATGCTTCCGGCATCCTCGGTTGGAACTCTATGTTGGTTAATTCGGTTGATATCAAAATGTTCACTGAAAATAAGATAAAAACTATTAAAACGGATTGATTTAGTTATTTTAATATCACTACAAGTATATAATTTTCTAGAAAAAACTTACTTGAATCCAAATGAACCAATTTTACCCGAGAAACAAATATTATATACTTTCTATTTATCGCATAGCAAGTCTTCAAAATTTGATGGCGTCTTCGTGCGGTTACATATAGTTTCATCTTTATTATACTCCTCCTATTTATAATCAAATATTTCCAAAGTCATCTAATTTTGTTTTAGTGTAATATATAATAATAATAATAATAATAATAATAATAAACACTTACGGCCTATCTTAGAGATATAAAGTGAACGAAGTTAACGCCATTAAACCAAAGTAACGGGAATAGTTTCGCTTGTCTTTGATGATTTTTCCAACAATATCTAAAAATAGCGATAACTAAAAGGGTAATTTATTATTTTAAAAACTTTAAAATGCTAAATATATATATAAGTTATTAAATTTACCGATCATCATTTTTCTCTCTGTTAGATCCTCTATTAAACTTTTAATCGAGGAGACCAATGGAAAAACCGGAAACCATGATATGATAGCATCGGCCAAACGATTAAATCGTGTGTTATTGCTGATTCTACTCATCAAATCACCACGTAATAAAATGTATTCTTGATACCTCGGATACTCAATTTATCACTACAATTTTTGCATCGGCCAAACTATTCCCGTTACTTTGGTTTAATGGCGTTAACTTCGTTCATTTTATATCTCCAAGATGGGCCGTAAGTGTTTATTATTATTATTATTATTATTATTATTATTATTATTATTATTATTATTAATACACTAAAACAAAATTAGATGACTTTGGAAATATTTGATTATAAATAGGGGGAGTATAATAAAGATGAAAACTGTATGTAACCGCACGAACACGCCATCAAATTGTGAAGACTTGCTATGCGATAAATAGAAAGTATATATAATATTTGTTTCTCGGGTAAAATTGGTTCATTTGCATTCAAGTAAGTTTTTTCTAGAAAATTATATACCTGTAGTGATATTAAAATAACTAAATCAATTCGTTTTTAGTAGTTTTTATCTTATTTTCAGTGAACATTTTGATATAAACCGAATTAACCAACGTAGAGTTCCAACCGAGGATGTCGGAAGCATTTAACATCATAAATATGGCTAGAAGAATTTGTAATTCCGTGTGAGACATTTGGTGGTGTTTTTTTTTTGAAGTTTTGACAACTTTGACGAGTGCGTTGCTTTTAAAGTTGATCTACATTAATGTTAGACATATTGTGGTGAATTTTTTCATGTGTGGTTTATTTTTCTTGTGTTGCCTTGTGACCATGATATATAATAATTTTTGGATATCTATGGAAATTTTCTTTTAACTATATATTAGTTTCTTCTGTTGTGTTTTTGGATTACAAGTTTTTAGTATAGTTGGTTATTTATTAAGGGTTGTGTTGCTTTCTAAAAAACTAAAAAAATTAATGTTAAAATCAAATTTGATGATTTTTCCAACAACAAATTAGTTTAATGTGAGAATCTTTTGTTGAAACCCTACCTCCTGCACCCAAAAAAATTTGAGAAATAAATAATATACAAGGAAACTTGAACAATATTTTGAATATTGAAATGAATTATAATAATGATAATAATAATTCCCTTCAAACCATGCCTTCCTTTGAGGTAGATAACTATCACGTTTGACCCATGCAAAACAATCCAGATGTGTAACAACTTGATATTTCAAGTCAATGTAATAGTTTAGGTCAACCATTGTAACTAGTTTTAAAGCAATAAAATGAAATTATTTGAATATTATGTACATTTAATTATTTGTAAAAGATGTAATAAAATTGATCGTCAAAAATAAAATGTTACATAAACTTTATTGGGATTAATAAAGTGGTAGAGATCGTAACAAGGATTTCGAAAATATAAAGAACATCGAAATCCGAGTTATAACGAATAAGTTATGACCTATCAAAAATTCGCGACAAAACCGGAATAACGTTGTATGACGTAAAAAGTGAAATTTCAATAAATACTTTTTACCTTTAACGATCTAAATGAAAGTCGTAGAATACGTCAAACCGAAAGCGTGCATAAAAAGAACATCAAAATCTGACTCCGTGTGATGAAGTTATAAATTTTTCTAAGTTTTGGCATAGCAATATGCAGCCCGAAACTCGAAATTTAGATCGAACAACTTTTGGCCAAAACAACCTAAATGAGAATCGGAGATCTTGTCAAAAGAAATCCAACGGTAAAAAGAGAGACGAAAACGGACGTCGGATAAAGAACTTATGAATTTTTAACAGACTTTTCCTATCCCGGCCTGTTAAAAATATAATTTTAAAAATAAAGTCAAAATTAGCCGACGGAGTCTAAACGAAAGTTGTAGAGCACGGTCTCACCTACGCGTGGATGTAAAGAACGTCAAAAACGGAGAACGTATACGAAAGTTACGAAATTTTGAAGTTTGAAAAATAGAAGTACACCCCACGTACAAGACCACGTCGCTTCCTTCTTCACATGCAACACGTATCACGCATCATCGACACGTCCGAAGCCACGTAACCACTATGCCCAGCGTACAAAAAGATTACCCCCAGCGTAATCGGACTAGCTTTGACACGTATCTCGTAGCCTTGCCACGTCCGAAGTTCGGATAAGGATCAAATTAGTACGCCCCGCGTACTAGACGTACGCCCAGCGTACTGAGGTTCACATTAGTACGCCCAGCGTACAAGGGAATTACGCTTAGCATATTACTGGACCTCAGCCTCCTATAAATAGCATGCGAGGCCTCCGGTTTTTGTTTACCATTTTCAATCTCTCTCTCACCTTAAACACTCTTTCAAGCCACTTTTAACCCCCCGAAGCCTAGAATTCCCCCCTAACACCCGAAGAAAGCCAGGAGCCCTGAAATCCTCAAGAAAATAATCTTTTCCAATCGAAACTCTGCCCGCGTGAAGCTCGGTTTTTCATCAAAAACTCTCGGTTTCATCAAGAAAAATCCTTCCCAGAAACAAAGCGCTGCCTGAATCACCACTCATCAAGTGAGGTCACACCCCTGCGTTTTTACTATTTTTACTGTTTTAGGGGGGGCGGGGGATACAAGTTTAACACAAGAATATTGTGTTTACAAATAAATGATTTCTAAATATTTTTAAAATGACTTTAAATGTTTTATAAACTCTTTTTAATTTATAATTTGCGAAAATCATATATATATATATATATATATATATATATATATATATATATATATATAATATTGAAACGATATTCGGACAAATAATTCTATCCTGAGCCCACATCCAACTAGGAAAAGGAAAATAAAGCGAATTATCAGTCCTAAGCCCTTTAAATCTTATATATATATATATATATATATATATATATATATATATATATATATATATATATATATATATATATATAAGTTAATTCAATTAAATTCATATACCCTTTGTAACATGTCGAGCAAAGGGGATATTTTCATGAATATTACATATCAAACAGAAAACATCTATAAATTATAATAGGTATAATTTATGGAACTCTCAAACTATCTTCACGAACTAGTTATACAATGTTTAACAGATTACTCTTATACAAATACTTTACATTCAAGTATATTAGAGAAAGATCATACTATCAGATTATCATTTGTTTAAAAATGACTTTTTATCATTTGTTATATATACGTAATCGTCAATATGCTTTTTGTGAGACAATGTTTAGTTGCATATTCATTTAGGCAATACAGTTAAAGTCCGGATATTATAACCAGAATCTCCAGATAGAGAGCGAGACAAATGTGTATAGATCTATACGGGATTGACAATCCCACACTCAGACTGTTAGCTACAGTCGCGCAGACATGCCTATGAGTGGCAAATGTCGTTGACAGTTCTGA